GTTAATCCAAGACACTCAAGCCATTGTACCCGTCTCTGCAGCTCGTTTCTGTTTTGCTATATACTGAAGAAGCCAATCGAGAAGCAGGTTTTTCTGGGGCAGTATTCACTTAGGATGGACTACTGAGGCACTTGAGCATCTCTGCATTCCGTGCTTTTGACGACTTTACCCAGTCTTACTAGAATTCGTACAGAGCTGAAGCAGCTTCTGTCGGTGAACATGAACGTGTGTTTCTGTTACTGTCTCCACAGTTTGGGGGTCAGGCCTACAGTGATGTGGAGCATACTGCGGTCCAGTGCCGAGCCCTGGACGGGATTGAATGTGCCAGCCCCAGGACCTTCCTACGAAAAAATAAGCCTTGTATAAAGTAAGTGTTGCTTACTTGTTCCATGTGTGTGGTGTGATGCTGGGATTTGAACCCAACGCAAGTGCTAAGCAAAGGCTCTGATGATGAGCTACACCCCAGCTCAAACCAAGGGTTACTTTGAAAGGGGTAATGAGTACTTGGCTAGAGGTACCAGCTAGTGTGACTTTTTCTTGGAAGTTTTAAAGACTGCATGTGCTTCCTCCTCCGGGCGGCCCGCTGACTGAGGCAGTGTGATTGCAACAACTAGGAGAAGTTGTGGGTTCAGAGTCTTTGGGTCTGCCCCTCATCCTCGGCTGGGCCAAATGAGGTAGCTTCAAAACTCCCAGCCATCAAGCATCCTGTGAAAATCACCTGACCCTACAGAAATGTGGTATAAATTCTACCAAAAGATGCAGAATCAACTTAGACTGCTGGTGAATGAAAGGCGCCAGGGTGACGTGTAGTGATAACTCCAGCTGCAGCTAAGTGTTTTCACAGAGACATAGAAGGGATATAGGATCAGCAGACAAAGGGGCAGACCCTTCTGCTACTGCCATCTCTTATGCAGTGATTCAGTCCAGCTCTGCAAAACACTCTGTTGGGTTTTATTGATTTATTTTAACATCTGTGTATTGTGAGTAGGTTTGTGCACGTTGACTGCAGGGCCTGCAGGCCAGTGCAGGGTGGCTGATCGAGGTGCTTGTGAGCCATCTGGTATCCTTGCTGGTAATCAAACCTGGCTCCTCTGCAAGAAGCACCAAAAATGCTTGTAACCACCGAGCCATCTCTCTAGGCCCCTTTTCATTCTTAAAAGTCCCTTCATATCTTAGCAAGTATGTTTTTGAGACCCCCCCCCAGACCAGTAGTTCTCAACCTGTGGATTATGATCTCTGGGGGTGGGGGGATGTAACATATCAAATATCCTGTGTATCTGATATTTACAATTCATAACAGTAGCAAAATTACAGTTATAAAGTAGCAACGAAAGTAATTTTATGGTTGGGGGGTCACCACAATGTGAGGAGCTCTGTTAAGGGGTCAGTGGACTGGGAAGTGTTGAGGTCTGGTCTTTTGCTATGTATTGTAATGCTAAATACTGGCCCCTAAGGCTTGAGTGCTCCCAGAGAACTCACAAATACAATGTGACCTTGCTCCTTAATTTAAAACTGTTCGTTAAATAAAGATGCCAACAGCCAGTGGCTGGGCAGGAGAGACACAGGCGGTGTCTGGGGTTCCCAGACTTGGGGTCGGAGGAGAACCATTAGGAAAGAGAAGATGGATAGAGTAGAAGGCGCCGGTGGGTAAGAATCTTGAAATCATGGCCGTGAGGGCTAGCCAGCTGGAGCTGTGAGCAGCCCAGACAGATCATGGCAAATCATGTTGTGGGGAACTAGACAGAAAAGCATAGAGGGTAGATACCCGCCCAGCTCTAGTGCTCTCTAAGGCTTACTGTAAACAATAAAAACTGCGTGTCTTTTATCCAGGAACTGGATGATCAAAGGTAGAGTAGAGCCCCTGATTGAGATGAACTATTTTCTACAACAGGAAGGTCTAGACCAACCAGAGAGGGAGGAGCTTCCATGAGTATAATATACTATATTTAACTTTGTTTGTTTATTTGTTTTATGTTTCTGGCTGGGGAGAGATCTGTTCATCCCAAGACTAGAAAATTCTAGTGTTATCAAAGGACCTAGTCAGGAGCATGTTTTTAATTCACAAATTATTGTCCTGAGCCATCTGGTGCTCGTCTCCTGGGGTAGACTCCTCCTTTACCTTAATCATGCCAGGGTCAAGTGTCAGGCCACTGAGGCCCACACTCAAAGCTGCTGAAATTATTCAAGTTACCAATCCTAAATTGATTACCTGTCCTGCCTTGGCTTTTCTGCAAATACCTCAGCAAAGTTGTGACTTGGACCTACCCTATACTCCTGTCTTCTGACCATCGTGTTCTTCTCAGACCTCCCAGCAGGGCAACATCCATGCCAACTCTCTAGGACCCGTGACAGGGCGACAGCCATGCCTCCTCTCTGGGACCCGTGAATGCAATAAGCTATTTGTTTGGCCTCTTTACCCCTGAGGCTCTTTTGTGTCTCACCTCCCACCCCCCGACCCCCATAGCCATACCTGACTGAATGCATCAAGAAAGAACCCATCCATGATATGAGGCCTTTGCACCACAGCCAACCAATGCTGTACTTCCATTATGTTACAGTCAATTTTCATGTGACAAAAACATCTCCCTCCCTTCCTCCAGGTACACTGGACACTACTTCATAACCACACTTCTCTACTCCTTCTTCCTGGGATGCTTTGGAGTCGACCGCTTCTGTCTGGGACACACTGGAACAGCAGTTGGGAAGCTGCTAACCCTTGGAGGACTAGGGATCTGGTGGTTCGTCGATCTTATTTTGCTCATCACTGGGGGGCTGATGCCTAGTGATGGCAGCAACTGGTGCACCGTCTACTAAACCCTGTTGCTGTCTATGCTGGCAAGAAAAGCGAGTGCTTGGCTGCCAAGACAATTACTACAAGCTCTGAATTCTCTGAACATCACCGTCCTCTCTAGGAGGAAGGACCGACCAAGTTTTTCACCCCTAAATCTTAACCTTGCAAACCAGAATGACAAGCAGAATTGTGGGAGTCCAGTGGCCCCTTCCACACATACAAAATCTCAAAGATCAAAGATAGTGACTTCTCTCCAGAGATCATTGTCAGTGATGTTTCTGTGTGGCTGGATCTTCAGTCGTTTGGAGCAGGGGAATCCAAAAGGATAAACCAAGCGAGTGTTTATCCATTTACAACCTTTCGTGACCCTCAATTTCCATGCACAGATCAGAAGCTGCTCCAATGAGAAGTCTTCAGGCAATGTAGACATGACTGTGGATTTTAATACACACCAAAATTCTGACTGAGAATTTAAATTGCAGAATAAAGTTTTAAAGCCTAGCCTGCTGTGTGAATATTTTCAGTAGAGAATGAAACTCAAAAAGTATTTTTGCTGAAGGGTAAGCATTTAAAATGAAACAGTTACGGTTTGAATATCAGATGCTCCTCCACCACCACTCCCACAGTCTCAGGTATTGAGGGCTTGATTGCCAGCTGACGGGCTTTTAGAACGTGAGTAGATCCTGAGGACTGATCTGATCAATGGATTTATGGTACTATTATTGGAAAATGATAAAGACTAGGAAGTAAGGCCTAGCTGGAGGAAGTAGGTTACTGGGGAATGGGGTCACCTTGAGGCTACAACATGCACTGGCTCTTCCTGACCCCTTTGAGATGAAAAGTCTAATCCACCACACACTTACACCATGATTTTCTGTTCAAGCCCTGGAGCCAACCAACCACAGACTGAGCCCGCTAAGCCTGTGGCCAAAATAGAGCCTGCCTCCTTAAACCATCTGTCTGTCGGGTACTCGGTCATAACAGTATGTGTCTAATACAACTACCCTATTGAACCCGACTGGACTGTTGTAATGTTCTAGAGACGGTAATTTCTTCTTTCCAATTATGTTTTGAAAGCCAACAATGGTAGACATGTATGAGTTAACAGAGTTGTCCTACCTAAGGTTAGTATTTTCCAGCTTATGGACCCCACATTTTAGAGGCTGATTCAAAAAAAAAAAAAACTTTATAAGCTACCATTATAATTTTATTAATCCCAGCACTTAGGAGGCAGAGGCAGATAGATGTCTTGTGAGTTAGAAGCTACTTGGCCTACATAGTCCATGTCTTCAAAAAAAAAAAATTTTACACAAGTAACTATAATACTTCCTGCATAATTAAAATGAGGAACCCCACCCATGCCTTTGGAAAGAAAACTAAGAAAAATGTATGCCTACTTAAAAGATACTACTAGGATCAAATCAGCATGTCTTAGGGGAGTGAGGAGAAAACACATTCTCTTCTCTCCTTACAGGCGTGACATGAAAAGGGTTTGTAGTGTTCCAGTCAAGCTTCTGTATTCCCAGGTACTGGGAAGAAAAGGAAATGTTCTGAAGTATTTCAAATCTAAGTAAAAGGAGAGGAACTGTTAAGTATAACATAAAGAACAGGTCAGACCAAGAGGCCTGTTCTTCAGTTAGCCACAGAGCCTAGAGACAGGGTAGACCTACTCCACGTTCATCCCACAGTAACTGACAGGAAGACCTGAAAACACAACATGTACAACCCTTCTTAAAAGTCTTGCCTCAGCATCCCAGGTTAATATTACTGTTCTCACATCATTAGAGATGACAACTGTAAACACTTTTAAAAACCACAATAACCTCAGCCCTGCTTACAATAACAATTGGAAGTCTCAATTCATAATTTCTATACACTTAAGCAATCTTTTCAGATTAATCGTGAAGAAACTACCTCCTTGGAAATAAACACCTCAAGCTTTACATAGGCTTTAAGAAGATCCAGGGCTGCCATATTTAAAAAAAAAAAAAAAATTCTGGAAGGCTCAATGCTGAGCCTTGCCTAATGTGCACTGGTCCCTAGTTTTTTCCCCAGTACCCTCTCAAGTCTGGAAGACAGTAAACTAAAGTTAAAATCTTACCTAAAATAAACTACTTAACCCATTAGCAGGCCCTACCACAGTTTACTATGTAAAATCTCCAAGTGTTCGTAAGCTTCATTAAAAGAAAGAACCTAAGTAAAAAGTCCATAAATGATTCAAAAATTATTTTAATAGAAAACATTCTCAGAAACACTAGAGGTCCAAGTTGTTTCTACCACTAAAATGATCATACTCCAGTGTGGGAGTCTGATGTTGTCAGTTCCAATCTGTCTTACACTTGATGACCTTTCCACAAACCCTGGCCCAAAGTGGATATAACCTGGGAAATTCAGTATACAAAGGGGTATTATTTAAAATGTAGCTGCCTCTTTACTCCAGATTCAGGCTCTTAATAGTTGGTAGATAATTTGTACATGTGTGTGACATATCAGTTTGTGGCTATATAGAAGGTAACTAAAGTATCCTGTCAAAAATTAGTTAGGAATTGCCTGTTTTCCAGTCATTACTGTCTTTAAATTTTATCAGATCACCGGAGCTGGTTCCACTTGAGTTAGGAAGGTTTTTGCAGCAGAATAGCACCCTCAACCTCAGAATCCATGAGAGTATGTGTGCATGTGCGCGCGTGTGTGCATGTGCGTGTGCGTGCATCCATTTTTCTTGATAGCCAGAAGACCCTGCCATCTCCAGCACTTCGATAGAAACCAGGTAATATAACTGGTTTCACTAGCCAGTTTCTCAGAGTAAGATACTTAATTGATTATTTCAGGTGTGACTGTCAGAAACAAGGTTTGACTTCCTCGAAGCACAATGATGGAGAGAAAGTCATTGTCCTTAACAGCTTCAATGACATCAGTTGTGGTGGTGACAGGTTGCCCGTTAATGCTGACAATTACATCATGGTCTCTCAACCCGGAGCTGAGAAAGAAAAAGAAAAACTGATGAAGCCGGGAGTGGTGGTGCACACCTTTAATCCCAGCATTCGGGAGGCAGAGGCAGGTGAATCGCTTGAGTTTGTGAGGCCAGCCTGGTCTACAGAGTGAACTCCAGGACATCCAGGGCTACACTACAAAAATGAAGAGATGAAGAAAGCATAAGAAGGGTTCTACTCACCTCCATTTGGAGTCTGTCTGTCTGTCTGTCTGTCTGTCTGTCTGATTCTTCCCCACTCCCACACTGCTCTACTATTTTGCTGACCATTGGACATATAAATCAAGGCTGCAGGACCAGCCTGGACCCTTCTAGCTGCAAGGGCTGTTGAGGGATGAGCTGTGAAGTCAGCTGGAGGACAAGGATCCTGTGTTTCCAAAAATATTAATGTCCAGAGGAAGCTGAGTCTTCCCATGCATTGGATTTTATTTGGAATGGATACTTTAACATCTAATTTCTCTTCATCCCTGGCCAGTGCTCTCCTCCAACATGACTAGACTCAACAGCAGTAGTGCCAAGCCCAGTGTTTTTCCCAGGAAGTCATGCTCTGATGAGTCTGACCGGACAGCCCATCCCATAGCTTCTGCAACTGCACTGTGATAAGCTGCTGTATGCCCCAGATGTTATGGTCCCAGTAAAGCAAAAGCCACTCAAGCTTCCAAGTCCAGATGTTTACAGCTGTGACTCAAGGCTATAGTTCTATTCAGCCTTCAACCCACTGACCTCACATAGAATATTTATTCTAGATCAGCGGTTCTCAACTGTCCTGATGGCCGCAACCCTTTAATATAGTTCCTCGTGTTGTGGTGACACCAACCATAAAATTATTTTGGTTGCTACTTCATAACTGTAATTTTGCTAGTCGTGAGTCATAATGTAAATATCTGTGTTTTCCAATGGTCTTAGGAGACCCTGTGAAAGGTCGTTTGCCCCACCCCAAGGGGTTTTCAACCCACAGGTTGAGAACTGCTGTTCTAGATACAAAATCCAGCTCTAAAGGCAAAGAACAATAAACACTGACAGGCTGGTTGATGGTATAAAGTTAAGCATGGGCTAAAGGGCTGGAGAGATGGCTCAGCGGTTAAGAGCACTGACTGCTCTTCCAGAGGTCCTGAGTTCAATTCCCAGCAACCACATGGTGGCTCACAACTATCTGTAATGGGATCTGATGCCCTCTTGTGTGTCTGAAGACAGTGACAGTGTACTCACATACATGAAATAAATAAATTTAAAAGAAACGGGCTAAGAGAAGGATGTCAAAATAAAAAATTCAGGAGATGCTATTTAAGGAAAATGGGGAGTTCAAGAAAAAAAAAAAAGACAGTGTGAGTGGATTCCCAAGATACGCAGAGTTAGAAGAACGTGAAGCGTCAGGGTAAGTGGTAGAGGGTATGTTTAGCGTATGCCTGGTCCTTAGTTCAACGGCCAGCACCAAAGGTGGGGTGGCTAGGGTGGAAAGATAATACAGTGGGCCATGAAGAGAAGAAAGGACAAAGCTGCCTGCGAGAAATCCTTAGGAACAAGGAGAGTAGCAGGCGATGACTCGGGCTGTGTGCAGAGAAAGACGATAACTCAGCAATCGTGAGCAGGGAAACGGAACAAGAAAGAAACTGTGCTGGGGCTTGGGGCCTACTGTGCACCGAATATGAGGAAGTAGGTTCACACAGAATAAGTAGTCCTCGCCCGTGTCTCACAACTTTCGGGTAAAGCAGGATTCGATGCTGAAAATTCATCTTCTTGTCAGAGTGCATATCTCTGACCTCAGCATAACTCGGCGGCACAGCTGTTTTCCCGTAAAAACAAGGACTGTGTCATAAGGCTCCTCAAACAACTCTGTAAAAACACTCTGGTGCCTGGGATATAATAAATGTTCCCTAAGTGCCAGCTGCTGTTACCATAATTATTAGTGGTTATTAAATATAAATGGATGAAAGCCAGCAAGGGTGGATGTTAGGCTGTTCGAGGATTACAGCAGTAATTCTCACTTCGACATGCGCATAACCTACCTGAGAATTCCTGTTAAATACGAAGACTCTTAGAGATGTAGTCTAGTGCTAGGACAGGTGTTTAGCGCACACAAGGCCCTAGATTTGAACCCCAGGAAGCAAGAAATAGAGTTAAGGGAAGTTGGGGAGAGAGGGAGGGAAGAAAGAGCAGAGGAAGCAAAGCAGGAGATGGGAGGAAGGAAGATTTATCTGCCACAGCACACGCACCTAACCCCAGCGCTTGGGAAGTGGAAACAGGAAAATCCGGGACTCAAGACCAGCACTGAGACAGAGAGACAGAGAGGGGAGTTGGGAGGAGACACTAATTCAGGGAGGGCTCCAGCCTCCCTTTCTAACTGGCTACTGCCACAGAAAGTTGAGAACAACTTACAGAGCTGAGCCCTCTGGCTTTGGATCAAAAGTTAAAATAAGGAGTTAGGGAAGGCACAGGGCAGGGTAAGGATCCAGAGTCTAGAAAATCATGTGGCAAGTCATATTTAGGAGCGGGAAACCTGACACTTAGCTATGCTAACCTGCCTGGCACCAATGAATTTCTTCCAGGTCTACAAGAGTCGCCAACCGCTAAACAGGTAACTGAGCTCTTGAAAACCAGTGAACAGTGAGGAAGAAAGGGCAGAGCCCAGGAGAATAGCATTTGCAGAACAAGCTGCCTCTCCCTGATAGTAAACACCCTGAAGCAAAGCTGAGAACAGCTGCTAAACCTTCCACGGGGCTGTGCCAGACCATGGTCTAGTGACACAGGAGTGAGCCACAGCAGTTTACAACGCCATTCACACCTCAGAGGAAAGGGTGTTTGAGAAGACCTACTGTGCACTAAGACTTCTGACACACTGAATCCTTCCCATTCTTATTGACTGAAAATGACTGAACTGTTCCAACTATTTAGTTATGTGTCATTAGTTAATAGTTGTCAATAACTGAATGACGGGGACATTGTGGCACATGACTATAATCCTAGCACTCATGAGACAGAAGTAAGAGGATTACCAGTTTCAGGCTAGCTTGGGCTACACAGTGAGGCAATATCTCAAAAATTCCAAGTAAAGATCTGGGAAAAGCTTGAAGGGAAAAATTCTTGTTATATAAGCACAAGGTTAGTTTGGGTCCCCAGCACACAAATTAAAAAAAAAAAAATCTGGGTGTAATGGCACATGCCTGGAATCCCAGCCCTGGGGAGGCAAAGACAGGCCGATCCCTGGCACTCTGGGCGAGTCAGTACAGCCTAATTGACGAGCTCGAGGTTCAGTCAGAAACCCTGCTTCAAACATAAGGAGGGGAGTGATGGAAGAAGGCACTCTGTATCTCTCTCTGCCACACACACACATGCACACACACACACACACACACCACATACACACATATACACATACACACATATACACATACACACTACATACACACATATACAAACACACCAATCACACATATACACACACATACCA